ACAATATCAGTATATGTGGGATTTACTAGCCTCTAATATGGGCTAGTTGCTTTGAGCTGGTTAAAAGGGCTGGAAATGCCTGGATCATTGGTGTATGAGTAGCTATTCTGTCAGGAACCGAGATGTTGCTAATTTTTACAAAAATATAGTGCTAGAAAATTTTGAGCTGCCTATTGCTTTTAGAGTAAAATACATTCTATTGAAAGATGCTCAAATTTTACAATTCCTTACTCTGTTTTGAAAAATTACCCTCCTCTCCCTTGAGATTGAAAGATGTGCTAGTCTGGCTTCCTTGCATTGAAAGATAAGTTACATTATATCTATTTTAGCCAAATATAGTTTTCTTATATAACATAACAAGTGTCAAATATGAATTTAACCAATATATAATACTTACCTTTTAAAATATATAATAAAATTGAAAATTTTCAATGCACAGGAAATAACATTAAAATAAAAGTTTAAAAAATATGCATTTTAATAAAATATTTTTATGGAAGAAATCAATAGTTTCCCTGTGTGTATTTGATCATTTACTAGTTTTAAGAAAGGTTTGTGCTTATTTTAATGATAAAGAGGACGGAAGTGTAATTTAAGCATCTCTTTGGGAGGGGAGAGTAAATTACCTATATTTTCACAACAGAAAGCATTCTCTGACTCTATTGTGCTGCTTTCTTGAATGTTACTTTCCTGATGGACTTTTATGTTTATTAAGAAGATTCTGATATGTCATCTTTACTACTTTCTGACATCATACAAAGATAAACAACACAGTTAAACAATAAAGATCTTTATAGGGGTTCTCCCTTTCAATTTGGTTGTAAATTAATTTGACATATGGATATCATGAGCATTTATTGATGATTACAATAAACATTGAACACTCTTTTTAATCATTCTCGATTTTGTTGTGTTTTGTTGTGTTCTGTAGGAATTCAGGATGAGGGAAATTCAACTTGGTTCACATACTGTGATGTCTCATGGGTATACGGTTGCAAGAACACACAGGCATGATTGGCTTATACTCCTGCTCCTTGTGATACTTGAGATCATTCTATATATTATCCATCCTTTCTATCGATTTGTTGGGAAGGATATGATGACTGATCTCAAATATCCCTTGAAGAGTAATACTGTTCCTGTTTGGGCTGTTCCTGTAAGTTTACTGCTTTGGATTGTACTTGTGAAAACATGATTCTTTCTGTTTTTTGGCCCCCAAGTATTATACTAAGAAAGCTCTGTGTTTTCTTTTATGGGTAGATGTATGCAGTTTTATTGCCTATGTTGATTTTTCTTTTTGTCTATATTCGAAGGAGAGATGTCTATGATCTTCACCATGCCATGTTAGGTAATAATTTGTGCAAAATCCTCATTTATTCATGTCGCAGAGCATATAATGGAAATGGCTGAAAGGAAACAGTTACAGTGGGTGTCGCTATGTTGTTTTGTGATGCAGGCCTCTTGTTCTCTGTTTTAGTAACAGCAGTAATCACTGATGCAATAAAAGATGCTGTAGGTCGGCCCCGACCAGACTTCTTCTGGCGTTGTTTTCCAGATGGAAAGGATGTAGGCTTTTCCTTAATTGTTGTTTGTGCGAGAGATCATTGTTGCAGAATTGATTTTAGATAATGATATAACCAATTTGTTGACTGGTGATAGCTGTAATATCTAAGGATTAATTGATTCTTTTTAGGTTTATGACAAATTGGGAAACGTCATATGTCATGGTGACAAGAATGTCATAAAGGAAGGACACAAGAGTTTCCCAAGTGGCCATACGTCATGTATGTGGTTGACTTTTTTATATTTTTTCTCTTCTGTGTCGAACAGAATTACTGGTTTTGCGAAGCTGATAACTTTTTTATGTTATTTCTCTTCTGTATAGAAACAAAATTACTGGTTTTGCCAGGATATATATCCCTTGTAGTGCCTTGTGGAGTGCTTAAGTCTAGTTGTAAATGCGACACTTCTATCACATCTATATATTTCGTTTTAGATATAATACGTTTATCTTTTTCCTAATAGGTCGCACTTGAGCACTGCACAAATTTTTTTTTTTTTTTTAAAAAAAAGGCACTGCAGGGGATTCAAATCCATTTTTGCTATGCTGATAATTTCCTTGAATTTAGTATTATGGAAATGCTGAAATTTCAGATTGACTCGTAAATGCGTTGCTTAATTTCTAAAATTTTGCTTCATCAGTTGCTTGCCTCATTATATGCAGGGTCCTTTGCTGGTCTGGGTTTCTTATCTCTTTACTTATCTGGTAAAATAAAAGCATTTGACCGCACAGGCCATGTTGCCAAGCTTTGCATTGTTTTTCTCCCTTTGCTTATGGCATCACTTGTTGGCATTTCTCGGGTTGATGACTACTGGCACCATTGGCAGGATGTGTTTGCTGGAGGTCTTATAGGTTTGTATTAGATTTAGTAATGATAATGGGCGTCATATGTTTGTCATTTGGGCATTACATGGCTTACTATGTTTTGAATTCTCTTTTCAGGGCTTATAGTAGCTACGTTTTGCTATTTGCAATTTTTTCCTCCTCCTTATCACCATGAAGGTATGCTTCAGTGCAAATTATATAATTGGGTTATGTTCGTATGCCTATGTTGATTGTCAGATTGTATCCATTGGTAGTTCTCTCTGGAAAAGCACTAGACAGAAATTAAATTCTTGTTTGAGGTGTAGATACTGTTTTATAAATTATAAGCAACCAGGTAGCTTGATTTGGGAGTGAGAGACTTCTGGCAAAGGCAATTTTGAATTTCTTGCTATTATTATGTTATCTGAGGGACAAATGACTGCTTTAAATGCTCTATCTTCGAAATTTTTGAGTTCATATTTACTGCTCAGGAAAGAAGAGAGCCCCCAAAAAAAGACAAAAAAAGAAGTCACTTCAGGTTATGGCTTGAGTGTATTCAATGTGGGAAGTGGGAACCTGTTTCTCCTTCCTATGGAACACAAGAAATTCAACTTTTTTACTTATATTCCTGTTTTAGCTGTTATGAGTTTGGCCAAGATATGAAAGAGAATCTTTTCTCTGTTATGAAAGAGAACTGAGAAATTGGAGCTTCTCAATTGAAATAGATTAATTTTCCACTGGACAAAACAGCCGTGCTCAAATCCAAAAGTTACACATATTATCCAATTATTTTTCGAAAGACTAGCCAAACGAGAATGACATTGATATGGAACTTGTCAAATGATTTGGCCCATCACAATCTACTTTGTGTGGTTAGCAAATCAGTATGGTGACTCGAATCTGAAACTGGTTGATCCTCTGGATATGATTTCTGCAGGCTGGGGACCTTATGCTTACTTTAGGATGTTGGAGGAAACACGTGCTACTACTCACCCTCCTAATGGTCAAAATCAAAATTCTGGCCATGCACAGCCTACAGAAGTTCACGAGGAGAACCAGGAGGGTCAAAGCTGCCTTGGATGTGTGGGTTTTTCTGTTGAAAGGGATAATCATAATGCAACATTGGATGAAATGGAATGTGGGAATGTGAGAAAATAGTTGTTGGGCATCATTTCTGACTTGATCTGCTTCTCAATGTTCTTTGTAGTTCACATGGGATTTTCTTCCCAAATTTGTTGCCTTTTTGTGATCAACATCTTGTAGAGAACGAATGAGTTGTGGCAGTAGGTGCAGTAAAACATCTTGATTACCTCTTTTTGTTTTCCATCTGTGTTAAAATTAGTCAAGGGAGCTGAGACTTGCGATTAAAAATTAATTTTTTGGTGAGAAATTATACAATTAAACTTGACTTTTTCCAAGTTATGAAAATGTTTTGCAGTTGTTATTTTTGAATGAAAATATTTCTATAATATGTAGCAGACTGTATCTTAAGTTTTGTAAATATGGAAGATATCATAAGAAAGCACGAAAGGTAATTGATTGTCAAAAAGTTTTCGAGACAAAAGTTAATTTTTAGAGCTATTGACATAGTAAGTTTCAAGGTCATTACTTGTCATTTTGCTTTGATAATATTATCGGCTCTCAAATGCGGATCATGTTGAGAGAATATTAAACTTGAACATGCTCATCTGATAATAGCTTTGTTTGGATTAGTGATAGAAAAAATAGTTTATTATCAATTTGATTTTTAAAAAAATTAGATTGGGTAAAAGTTAAATTGGGTGAGGTGAATTATGTTTGGATTGGATTATATAAAAATTAGTTTATAAAAGTTAGATTGGATAAAAAATTGTTTGGTTTATGATTGAATAAAAGTAAGTTTAGTTTGTAAAATTATCAAAAATGGATATGAGTTTTATTAGATAATTAAAAATGATAAAAAAATAAATTTACATAATACAATGAATTTAAATTAGTAAGTTTGGTTGGTAAAATTACCAAAATGAGTATGCTTTTTATTAAATACTCCTCCGGTCCTTAATATAAGACATGTTTAACTAATTTGATTAAATTAAGAAAGTTAGGTAAGTTAGTTTATTATAAGAAATATGATACTCCTCCGGTCCTAATTATAAGACTCAATTGACTTATTTGAGGAGATTAAGGAAGTAAGTTAAGTTGGTTATTTATAATAAATAAGTGTTGTCATTCCTAAAATATCCTTGCTAATTAAGTATATTGGCTAAAACTATCATTATTAGAAGGATTATCTTGGAAAAAATGCATAAATATAAGAGACAAAATGGATTGGGGTCTTATAATTAGGACCAAATAAAAAGTCAAATGGAGTCTTATAATAAGGACCGGAGGAGTATGTTTTTTTCTAAAATACTATAATTATTTTTTTAATATTCTCCCTTCATATCAACAGCTCTTATATTTAGAAAAATGTTGATCTTGGTTCTAAATATAAGACATATTTATTACATTTATTAATTTTTTCTAAATTACTCTTATGGATATTTATTTAGGAATAAGATCAACTTAACAATTAGGTCATATATTAAGGACTAAAGGAGTAATAAAAATGATAAAAAATGAATTTACATAATATAACGAACTCAAATTAGTTTAAGTGGAAGAAGTGAAATTTAATGAATGAAATATATTTTACAAAATTAGAAATATGATAAAAAGGTTTTTGTAAATATAAAGGGACAAGAGTGAACGAGTGTGGCCAAGAGAAATAAACAAGCTTTGGAACGAGAGAGTAACGGTACAAGAGTGAGAGAAAAGTAACAGAGACTCTAATTATTACCACCTCCGTTCTTAATACAAGATCTCATTTAACTTTTATGTTAGTCCTAAATATAAGACCTCAATCCATTTTGTCTCTCACATTTATTCAATTTTTTCAAGATAGTCCTTCTAATAATTATAGTTTTAGCCAATGTACTTGATTAGTAAGAATATTTTAAAAAAGACAATATCTATTTATTACAAATAACTAATTTAACCTCTTTTTTTAATTTTCTCAAATTAATCAATTGGCTCTTATAAGTAAGATTGGAAGTAGTATTTTCGGGTTACTTCGTCAACTATAAGCACGGTGTATAAGCTCAAAAAGTGGTTCAGATTAACTTATTCAAACGGTGCGTTGAATCCTACTTCTAATTCACAAGTAGGATGGGCCCAAAACTCAGCTAAATAGACTTAAAATTTTAAACGTGATTCTAAACTGAAATAAGGAGTTTTGGACCTGTGACCACTGTGCCAAACAGACGACATAATTGCTCATTTGAAAGTGACTTCAGTCAATTCCATCACGACAGAAAAATATCATTATTAACGCTAAGTGCGTGAGTTATGGGAAAAAAAAATTACATTATCATTTTTCTAAAATGATTTTGACATGTTTGTGACATGGTCATTAGGATTTTATTTTACCAGACATAAGTATTTTTTTTATAAGAAAAAATCATATTCGAGACGTGTATAATGACAAGATTGTTATTAGGATTTGACTTCTCTGCTCCCCTGGTCGGGTCGGGTCGGCTACGTGAGTAAAAACAAGAAGAAGTTGCTTTATTTCTAAAGTGGATTGAGCCCCATAAATCATTTAATCAAAATGCTGTGTCACATATATGTGTCTGTACATATGCATGTGTGTTAGAGTTTTTTTTTTTTTTTCCTTCTCTTTTTAACCATTGAAGCAGCTTTTTGATCCGCGAAAGTCATTCACAATACTCTCACACACAAAGTGATACCAAACACATCCTATTTTAACTCGGAACAAAATCTTTTGGATTGTGGATCCACCAAGGGAGTTTTATAAGCAAAAAGAATAATCATATCTTAAATTCCACCGAGATTGATATTTTGACACTTAACTAGTCTTCTCTATATATACTTTCTCTATTCCTGTTTATAAATCATATTTAGCTACTTCATACAAATTAAGAAAATTAATTAAAATTGATTGATTGTTTTTTTTATTATCCTATATTTTCACAAATACTTTAATTAAATACATTTTTTTAATAATTTATGTCATTCTTTCTTTTTTGTCATAATTATCAACAATACTCATATAAAAAGCCTTATTATGAAAGAAAGTATTAGTGTTTTCATAAATATTATAAAATGACTTACTAAAATAAATGGACTATTAAGATAAATGGATATGATTAAAATTAATTAGATGCAATAAATATGTTATAAATGCAAATTTTTTTCAAATATGCTTATTTATAAAGTTTATTAGTGGCTTTTAATTCATCATAAATATTATTCTCCTTTGTTAATGAGGGAAATTGTTTTTTAATAAATATTCCCAGACAAATTGTTTCTTATAAGCATGATCAAAGAAAATCATTCCAAAATTCTCTAATAAAAAAAAAGGAGGTTGTACTATTTTATACCCGACTAAGGGTGTGTTTGAAATAGCAATAGTAAAACTGACTCTTACTTCATCTGATTTTAGCAAGCATGAGTTGGAATAAAAATCAGTTATTATAATGTGATTTATATTTGAATTGACATTTATAGAAAGTCAGTTTGAAAAATTAAAACCTGTTTAAATGATTAATAAAAAAATAATTTTAAATGTAAAATGATTAAAAATGACATGATCTTTATTAAATAGTAATGTTTTATATTATATGTTTTTAATGTGATAATGATTAAAAATAAATAAGATTATAATTATAAAATAAAAATATTATATGCATATCATGTAATAATTCTAAAAAATATTAAAATTAAAATTACACAAATAAAATAATAAATATTTTATTGGAAAAAATTGTAAATACTAAAAAATTTATTTTAATAAAAATTATATAAAATAAGTAACATAAGGAAATAAAATAATATAACAACAAATAAAATGAATATGCGTGTGTATATATATAATGTTACCCCAAATCTGCATGTGAATTGATAGGACATGAGACACAGGCAAATAAGGACAATAAAGAAACATGAGTAGTATAGACAAAAATGAAAGAACATATTAAAAAAAAGGGAATAAGAAGCCAGGAGCGGTGCGGTAAAAAAGCACCTAAAAGTCACGTCGGAAAAAAAGCTATTTTTGAGCATAAGTCCATCTGAAAAAACGTCAATCCAAACAAAAAAAACAAATAAAATCAAAAGCAGTGTCCACCGTGGCTTTTAAAGTTTGCACCGTGCTTTTCCCGGCAATCCAAACAGGTTCTAAGCCCTTTGGCTAGGATCAAGTGTATATGCTGAATATTACTTACTTGATCCATTGTATTAATTTTATTCTTTGTTACCTTCACCTTCAAATTGGGGTCTAATAAAGAGAAAAAAAAGAATAAAATCACGTGATTTGGAGGATGACAGATCAAAGCCAGTATCGCGGATGAAGCATGAAAATGAAAGATGAATATCGTGGGAATAACTCAAAAGTGGAAAAATGAAAAAGAGGAGGGAATGAAGAGGAATATCCATGTTTACCTCACCCTCTTCCCCTCTGCTACATTTTAAGCAAATTATACAGAGTCCCATTGTTTTCTCTCATTTTCTCTGATATATGAATTCCTTGTGTTTCTCTTGCCTTTAAAAAGGCTGGCCAAATGTGTGATTACCATCTTTTTCTTCCTCATAGCGAAAAGACTCACATGCCTACCAGCTGGTGAAGCTGACTTCTGAAACTTGGCTTGCTTGGCAGGAACCATAGTGCCATTGGATAATTTGATGCTCTTTCTAGATGTTGATCTCTGCAAATTATAATTGCTTGAACTTTTCCCACGTTTTCCTGCCAGATTCTCTAGCCTGTCTTGGCTAACTCTTTTTGAAACCAGCTTCTCCTTCGGATTAACCTCCATTATCTCTTCCTCCTTCTTTGTTTCTTTAATCTCTCTCAGAACTATTTTAGTCCTTACTGATATCTCATGTTCGCTTGCCTCAAGAGCTTTGATCCATGCATGTGCTGCTTCAACTTTTTTATCGGCAATTTCTTCAGCCACAGCTGCATGATTAGTTAAATACTCATACTCAAATGTTGAGATAGTAATTGTAGAACTATGCTTAGCTGCTAAAGCTCTTTCTCTCATGGTATTTTTAGTGAGAGTTTTCAGCTTCTCCAAAGCTTCACTTTCTAATGCTTTTATTACTTCCAATTCTTGCATGGCAGCCTGTAGTTTTTCCTCATTCATATCAATCTCAAGCTCAGTTGCTTTGATTTCTTCTTTGGTGGTTCTGTTCTCTTGAGTAATGATCTCCTTTTCCTTTCTTGCTGCTTCTGTTTCTGCCTTTAGTTCTTCGAGAGAAACTGATAAGCTCGTGGCTATGG